AAAACTCAGCAGCTCCAGCACTAAATGCTCTTAGCTGCACCCACCAAAGGACTTAAAATAATAATTTTAAAGCAATAACTTGAAGCTGTAAATCAATACACGCTTCCCAAAAAGTGATACAGATCACTACCCTGAGCTACAGTACTAGAATGGGCAGATAAACTATTTTCTGTAGTCTGTCCTAAATACACAGTGTGTGTTTCTAAACAGTTGTCCTGCCAGCATCATGGCAAGCATACATAACACTTATTAAGAAGTCCAGAAATAACATGTCACACTTTGTAAATGACAACAGGAGGCATTCTGGCATTCTTAGGATGAGAAATAAATAATGGATGAGAGCTGCTGAGACAAGAGTAACTCTGCCACAAAACATACTAGACTCATCCCTTCCATTTCTCAAATGAATTCCCCATTGTTACATTCCATTAATGTCCTCACTGAGTGCTCTTAATCATCTTCAAATAAAATCCTCATCCAAAAGTGGAATACACAGATGATCCCTACAAGCCTTACACACAGATACTGTAAGAATTAGTGAGGTAAGAGCCCATGATCTTTCAGTCCAGAAGTCTATTACCATTGTCAGCAGGCCAAACTAAAATTGTGTTAGTGTTAGCAGTCTCAAAGCATTACGACTCAAAACAGAACTTAGCCAGTCAGTGAGAATGAGTCCACACTTCTTCCCTTTGTGGGAATTTACCTTTTCTGTGCACTCTGGCATGGCTAGTTTCCTGAGCTTCAGTTTTTTGCCACATAGATGAGAATAAATTATCAGCTACCTCTTTTGGCTCTTTTGGAGTTCAATTACATCCCTCTTGTAAAGTGCTACACACAACTAACAGAAATTCCTTGCAAAATGATGCAACCACTACCATCAAGATCATGGTATTCTGAGTTGGAAAAAAATTGTGAATCTTTAGCTCATTCTTTCAGAGCCTTAACACATGAGTTCATGTAGATGACGTAGGAATTCTAAGTGATTCCAATTATGTATGTAGAACTATAGGCTACCTCATGTCTACATGAAGTTCTGGGTGTTTGAACATATTCTTATATGAATGACAATAAAGAAACACCTAAGGCCAACATCCTGGTTAGCAATGAAGTATGAAGATGGTGAGGAGCTAAAAGCAAGTAATGAAATAGTTTTTAATAATGTAGCAAATCAGTGATTGAGATGTATAGAAACTAGTGAAATGCAACAGTATTCCTCAGAGACTTGTTATTAACAGTTATTATTCATGTTTGAATTATAGAGATAAAAATATATTAGAGGGACATATAAAAATGCATAATTTTTTACTATCCAATACCTTCTGTCTCAGCAGTCTCACCTGTATTTTCTGACACTTCTCAACCTGGCATAAACAAGCTAGTGCATTAATTTTAATGAGTTTTCATGCATATTACTTATGTGTTATTTAAAGAACATGCACATGCTATACATCTGTGCAGGTAAAGAGAGGGAAAATAGCAAAGTCCCATCTTCCCTTAGTAAAATCCTTGTTCCTGAACCTGTTATTCCAAAAGCTCTGATTGCCCTCTCTTTCAATGCAGGATAAGAGTAATCTGTGATTTTTATTGTTTTTTCCAGGTCCTGGCATGTCAGTTATGTACGGTGTGCATTACATGCATGAAAATATGCTAGCTTTGTAACATGACGTGTGGTTTATTGTAGCTGCAGTGAAAAGTTTGCTTAAGCCTGGTAGAGATTCTCCATGACAAATGCCATGATGACTTCTGAAGTAGGTATTTGTATTGATTCCACTTCTTTTGCCTTCTATGTTGGTTTTATGGCTTATGGCTCCTGTCGGTACTTGTCTTGCAAGAAAATAAAATCAAATTAAAAGCTGTGCATATTTCCATTGCTAAGGATTCAATATCCACTTTCAGTGCTACTACAAGCATGCTACACTGCTGAGATTCATGGAAGCCACTCAAGGGGGACTAGGGTTAACTTCCACCGAATCTCTCTTCTCACTTTCTTAATCTGTAGGAGACACATTAGGGTGCCATCAAAATGCTTACCACTCCTACTTCAGTGCATAGAAAAATAAAGAGAACCCCCTCCCCCAATCTTACAGATAGGCCACATTCAGTTCCCCTCTAATAAATTCTAAGAGACTAGGCAAAACTGAATGGATCATTAGATTTTACTGCATTTAAAAACACTATCTTCATTAGTGGGAGAGAGGGTTTGAACTGCCCACCCTCTAACAAACAGCTAAGGTATTAGTATTCTGTGCCAGATGCCTCTATGCTTCCCAGAAGCAAGATAAGAGGTGTACGCAGGAACTCTATAGCTTGTATACTGCCCTACAAAGAATATGGTCACCTCCTGCAAAAGGGCTCAGGATCTTATGTTTATAACCCATTTGGATCTCGAGTTTTGGTTCAAGCCCCATGTCTTACTGCTACTCAGATTAAAAGATGAGAAAACAGCTCTTTGCTTGTCTCTGAAATGATTTCTCTATTTGGAACATAGCCTCTATTTAGGTCATTTGAGAGGACAATCACCATCAGTGTTTTCTGATTTATGTGAAACTATGTATTATATCAACTGTGAAATAAATTCTGGGCAATCAATAAGTAATTAAAACAGAACTAATGGTTGGGACATAACTGAGAGTACAAAGTGCAGCTACAATCTAATTATTACAATTTGATCCAAAAAAAAGTATCCCTCCAGGCAGCAAAGTTTATTGATGGAGATGTGGGCTTGTGGGGCATGGCCGCCAACAAACATGTTTTGACACATTCTGAGCATCCTCACCCCTCCCAAGAGCTGAACACTGTTTAATCTGCCCTCTAGATAAAGGGACAAAACTGGCTCTGCTAATTCCCACAACATCCCTCATGTTCAGCTGCACATGGGCTCTCACTGAGGAGGGCTTTATATTACCTCAGATATAACTCAGTGAGCAACAGCAAAATGGCAAGGTCCATGCATTCACTTCCAGGCTGCAGAATCAAATATTCAGACCTATTTTCACAAAGCTACACAACACAACATGAAGGTGTTTTATAGTCTTAAAGACAAAATCTGTTTGAGAATTTATATCTGCTATAAGCAGGTGCTGAGGCCTTAACAGATTAATGAAGCCAGAGCCAGATGCATGACCAGGGTAGCTGTCAAAATTCACATGACCCATTTGAGCAGGCAGATCAGTTTACATCATTGTAAAGAAAAAGGAGCACCTCGGATGATCTGAGACCTAAGTTGACTAGTCTGGGGGGAGAATCTAGTATGAGAGAGTTTGAGGTTTTCCCCTTTGCTGAGTCATGAGCGTGCCTAAATGTTCTTTCCATCCCCTAATTAATGATCTACCACATGTAGATGTATCATGAATCTGCCAGAAGCCATTAGTCATTATTGTTAACTATACATTCAGTTTTGTTTTCAGAACAATTTTTCACTATATTTAACATGCCTGTCCCTAAGAAAATTATAACGTTTTAGAGGATTGCAAAAAAGTTACAGCATTAACTTGATTAAACACCTGGTAGGGACTGTGCCCACTGTGGAACTGAATACTAAGTAACAAATAAATTCTATTACTCATCCACCCCTCTGCAGAGTATTATACATTTCGAGACTTTAAATATATCTGTCACAATCAAGGAAAGATTAATATTTTCTTGGATGGAAAGCATTATTTTAATTTACTTGAAAAGGGACTCTCTGCACATATAAGAGGAAACTTCCAGCTCAGTATTGAAACAGAGGACAAATGTTTCTTCCAGCTTGATCTTTGCATAGGTTATTACAGGATATGGAAGCTAATTAGCCTTAGGCACATTTATGAACCTCTTCCCTAGATTCAGATTGTAGGCATGATGTTTCTGAAGCATGCACTGTTGCCTCAGTGTATCATACAAATGATAGGAAAAAATCCCTTTTGATTCTTACATAACAAAAATATAAATTAAAAAAATTTCCCTTAATGAAAGACTTATTGTCAAAACACTGGAAAACATCAGTAAGACAGATGACAGTACTGCCATCACCTATTTCAGAAGGGACTAGTTTTGAGGCACTCTGACCTTCTCCCCATGGGGACAATTCCCTGTCTCAGATATTTTCTGCCTCTTTCTTGGAGAACAGTAAAGTTTAGTGAGATCTTAGCCAGTAGAACTGAACCGTTCCTGCTTAATTTTCATTTGTTGTTAATTAAAGGAGCTTAATTTCACTTAATTCAATTAATTTCACTTAATTTCAGCTCTTGCAGATGAGCAAAATGGGAAGTGAAAATTTTTCCTCACTCCTCCAATCAAATTTTCCATCTGCTTCTAGTCGCCTGTACTCTTGATTTACTTTAGCTACATTCACCATTGCTCTCTTTCAGCCAAATACTCCTGCCTCTGAGAGATACAGAGTGCTGTTACCTACCTCCTGTGATGGCTGAAAGAAAAACCCTATCAGTCTCTTTTAACTGGCACTCCCACTCACTTTAGCTTCCATTTAGAGACATCTATTTGGTATAACCAGTTTCACAAACATTGCAAATCTCTCCTTAAATTACAATCTTTATCACCTGGCCTCCTGAATGCCCTGTCTCTCAATTACTTAGCAGCAACACTTCTACCTTGTTCTCTATCATTATGTCTCAGCTTAATTTCATAAATTACTCTGGCACATGACCTGTGGACCTAATCACACAATTCAGCTCCTCTGAGCTCTGTAGAAATCCTAGAGAGAATCACAGAAGAGTAGTAGTGCTGTGGGACATGAACTGCAATACTGGAGCACGTGCATACAGAATAAATTAAGGTGGAGTGCCATTAGAAATGCAATCAGGAGGCTTTAAGGGCTAGAATTAGTGGTCATATAATAAAGAGAGAGAAAAAGAGAAAAATTGGGGGAGGGAGAGAACAAAAGAGAAAGAGGTAGAAAGGGAGGAAAGGAGTGGAAATATTTATTTCATTATATGCCATAAACAACCATTAGTAATAAATATTGCTACTTAATTGGTATGATTTCTAATATTGTAACTTACCATCAATAGCCAATTTGAGATCAGTCAGTGTAGCTCGAACTCTTGATATAACATGTTGCATGCAGTCAATTTCTTGATGGAGAAATATGTTTATGGGTTGAAAAGCTCCCATCTTTTGAAGCTGGGCTTTTACCTAAACAAGAATAGTGCAATGATTACGAAATTTAATCTCCTGCTTCCCATGCAAATATCTTTGAAAGCAAAAGGATGATTTTTCAATTGTATCCCATAATTACTGAGAAAATAAACTTTTATCTAACAGATGGCCATCCAAGTCCTGTGGCAACTGTAAGATTTAGCACACTGTGACTCATTAGCTTACCAAAAGGAGCTCCTCCATCATTCCAAGGAGGGAAAATTCCCTCTTTTTGAAGGGATACAGCAGCTCCTTCTGTCCTTGTTAGGCTGCAGGGTCTTAGATCTTAAATAAAAACAAACCACATACTGACATGCTATAAAAACCATGTTTGATAGTAAATTCTTCATGTTTTCACATTGTGCTAGGTGAACCTTCTCACCTCTTGCCCTGCTGAGTTGAGATAATGCTACAAATGGAGTTCAACTTAACAAGCACAATGATATATGAAAGCTGCTATTTCCAATAGCACGTGACTCACTCATAAGACAAGGTGCTCATGGAAGCTTTACTAAAGAGGTAAAATTGCCAGGAATAATACAGATACCACAGAATTCTGTTACACCGTTATGTGCACCATTTTGTAGGTAGAAGCATTTGGTCTTCTTAATTTTTAAGGATAACAGTTTCACTCATCCTCAACAGAGAACATTGTCAAAATGGAATTGGTTGTCTCTGTTACTTAAGGACATGTCACAGCAACAGGAATGCAAAAGCATTCCCTGTCTCACGCTAACATATGATGTATATACAATATACTTCAGATGTACACTGTACTTCCCATGTAAATCAGAGACCAATGTATACAGTACTGCATGAGAGATGATTTTGTGGCACTTGCAGAAATCATGGTGCCTATACCTCACATAGTACCAGAATTCTTGACTTTTAAGACTTTCAAGTGTTTTTCCCCACTATGACTCTGCTTTCAGAAAGCCAATGGCTTTCTCTCTGTACTTGCTACCACACAGCCACATGCATCATCTTTCATGTTGAAGTAGTCTGAAGCCTGATCTTTGCCACAGTCATCCTTCCCTCTGCAGGTGAAATCCTGCAAGGGGACTCTGGAACCGAAAAAAGAACTCAAACAGTAAAATAAGATCCTAAATTCAGATACCCATATGGCCATTAATTTATCATAAAAGACCTGATTTGTAGGATCAGTTTACTAAAATAATTTAAGAACCTGTTTTGAGCTTACTAACAAAAGGTGAAGAAAGTTAGAAAATCTATTCCTTCAAAAAGTAGAATATCATTGGAATTCTATTGCAGCCAAGTAGAAGCCACAAGATTTGGTATAATGTGTGCTATTTCATCAAGGCCAGAAAACCACTGGATTTTGCTTTGTGTTTTTCCAGATATAGTCATATATCTCAATATATACATTATTATGTATACTATACATTATATACACATAGTAAACATTATTAAAGATTTTATTATTACACTGAATAGCAAGTTTCTGCAAGAGGAATATAATATAGCAGTTGAGTAGTTATAATTGCTAGTATAAATGAGTAAATGCTTTGACAATTTCCAATTCTCAAGTTTCAACTCCAAGCCCAATAAAGTACTCTTTTTCAACTTTATATGCTATTCTCCTTGGGAGACAGCTATCAGCAAGGTTATTCATCATATTTTAATCACAAGGACCCATGAGTTTGTCAGACAGAACATCCAAGAAATACGTGCCAGCCAATTATGCTAATGCTTTGCAGTGTGACAGTTCATTTTACAGACTGAGTTAATGTGTTTCTTCCTGTAAAAGAGAAAAAAACTACTAAAATCAGCTATCATGAGACTGGAGTTGAGACAACAAACTGGTTTTGGATAATTTACACAATGAAGTATTCTGATTTTTTTCCTACAAAATCCAGGGAAAGCTTCTGTTTTCTGAAAATTTCACAGGAATTGATAATTCTCCCTCTTGCCAAAAAAGCAAAAAAAAAAGATGTTATTGTTAGTATAAGCTTACTAACAAAAAAGTTATTTTTGTTAGTAAGCTTATACTAAGAATACTTAGATGTCTAGTGCATGCCACTTATTAGAAATTAATTATACAGAGTATAGTCCATACATTTTATCCATTAAATAAGAAAGACACTTTTTTCTAGTCTACAAAGCACATGTTCTTTTTGGGGATCATTTAGAGGAAGAGTTTGTCCTGTTTGAGGAAAAAAAGTATGGAAGATGTTGTTAAAGGGGTTATTTTCCAAAATATTTATATTTATGAATCTACAAAGAGAAGATTAAATAAATATTCTAAAATATTACTGTACTGATAATTGTACAATTTGTTTAATTAGTGAGTTCTTGGCATTTAAATATTCTGATTTGTTTTTATGTACCTACAAAAATACTAGTAATGTTTTGAATAATGGAGTGAACCAATGATGCAGAAATCTGTTAATCCATCCTAGATATGTTCACAGCACTAAGCCTAGAGCACCAAGCATAACCAGATATGAAAACTGAAAAAAATTACATACTTCCTACATTATTGTATACAAATCAATCCTGACCTGCAGTGACATTTACTAGGTGTAACATAGAGCCTTTCTTGGAAATCTTGCTGTTAAGATTAGTTTTAAATACCAGCTCTGAGGTATGACTGACTGGTTTTGTATTCAAATTCTTATCAAGCAATCAGGTGACTTACTTCCAGTGCTCTATTTATTATGAAATAAAGAGATGGATACTGACTGACAGAAAAAACTCAAAAGACAAAACTCAATAACCAAAATAGCATTTCTGAGATTAATATACTAATTCCATAAAGCCCACTTACAATACCTCCTTTTCATTATGCAAACAGCTGTCATCTAACATCAAGAAGGTGATTTAAGAAAGGAACAACTAAAATAATAAACTTAATAGCTTTGTCCACATGATTTTGCAGTGCATTATCTCTACTGTGTCAGATTCTTCTATGTACATTTCTTAGATATCCTCAGGTCACCAATTCCTTTGTCTTCACATACTTTATAGGACATTCATCAGAAAAGCAGTTGCTGAACTCGTGCTATTTAAAGATCAGTGAACACATTACTGCAGTAGTAACTACCTGTCATTTTCAGTAAATATTATGATTTTCAATCAGACTTCATTACTTGCTATACTCTTTGTTAGTAGAAATGGGAAGTCCATCATTCTGTGAGATTCTCTAAATAAAAAGTCTGAATAAGAAAGACAAGCTCAAGGCATGTCCAAGCCAAAACTCTTTTCAACTGGTGTCAGGGACCACTTCCCTGTTGTATACAAGGAAGAAGGCAGTGATATACGTAGAAAATAGCTGAAGCTCTAGAGCTTGGTGACCACCATATCTGACAGAGTTGGTAAGTAAACAGAGACACCTTACAAAAGCACCTACAATAGTGTTTCAGTTTAGACCCCAATTATTTTTAAACTTGCACTGAAAATTAGACTCCAGGCACACAAACTGGCTCAGCTTCAAATTAAACTAACCTCAAAGGTAGGCTTCAGGGAGTCTAACACACTCCGACCACTAATGGGTGTTCAGCCTACAGACCCAGATTAGAGTTAGACCAAATTAAATTCCTCAGTAAAATATCTAATGCAGGCCTGGGGACTGTAGATGAACTTCTATCCCCGTGCAATACTTGCTAATAGCCTTAGCAGAGGATAAGGCAAAATCAATACTAAAAAAAATGTAAAGGCATAAAAACCCCCACTGCTACTTGGGTTAAAAACCAATCTCCAATTAAGTGCAGTATCTTTGGAATGCCTCCATGTCTATTCCCTAGCAAGCTGTTTTTCAAGCTGCAAGGATCATTTTCATTATAAACCTCTGTGTGTGACCAGCTGACATTTATTCTTGCATCTGTCTTCACTCAGATGGACTGACTGGACCTAATCATTTTACCACTAATCTCTCTGTTACCTGCAAGGCAAGACCCAGAAGCAAAAGGGGTCATGAAAACAAAATTCTTACTCTGCCTCTGCCTTTGGAGTGAGAATAACAAAGACAGTTTTAGGTCAGGAAGAAGGTTTATTTTGCTTTTCCATCACCTGTGTCAAACTGCAGTCTGATAAAGCATGCAAAGGTGACTTGTTTTGTTTACAGTCTTTTGGGTGCACTTTGAGTCATTTATTTGACTGGTGAGAGGAAGTGTTAGAAGAACAGAACAACAAAAGAAGAAGCATATATCATGAGGTAAAATGGTTGCCCTCCTTTGAAATTTGTTGATTCCAAAGTCATTGCCAAAGGCTAATAATCAAGAAATGAAGGCTTCTGTGTGACAGCCTGAATTTTCTCTGGATTCACAATGTACCTAAAGAAAGTACAATCCAGAGCTTTGAATGTCAGCAAAGTATTTATTTTAGTACCACCTGTCCCTAACCTAGTCTGTTGGAGTTTTAACTCTAAGCAAATTCACCCCACGCTTTCTATAGAGAGACACAAGAACTGATCAAAGATAGCAAAGGCATCTGAGACTTTCCCTGAAGAGTATTTTCTTTTAATTACCTTCATTTGTTTCCAAAAATTTTTGTTCCTTTTCTCCACTGATAGTATCACTATAACCGGATTTCCAAAGACTACCACGTTGTGGCCTTATTGGAGCACAACATTCTTCTAAAAGCAAATCCAAGCTGCACTGCTAGGACTAATGAATATGTTTCTTTTTACTGCTCTTATCCAATAAGGCATGCATAAGAGTTCTTTTTGACACATTCCCTCAGTCTCTTACAATTTAGTGTATTAGTTTTATTTGTTTCAGGATTGTTAAATTGATCTATGAGGTAATAATGTCCTGAATACAGGTAATAATGTCCTGAATGACCAAATGTTGACTTAAATTGACAAACAACAGAACTCATCTCATTCCCCTTTTTTAGCCATCACAGGAAGTAATTACATAATCCATTTTAATACTTACACTTGTAAGCTTAATTTCATTTGCTTATTATATTGTAGCTTCTCCTTAATTCTGTTGCTTCTTCCCTCAGAGAACATCTAAACTCTGTCTTTTTTTCTGCTCTGACTAATGAAATTCTTGGTTATATGAATGTAACTTTTTTTTTTTCTTTTGGTATTTGAGACATTCTCTTTTTTTTGTCAGTTTATGCAAACTTTCATTTAAAAATACAGCTTTCTTTACAGAAACAGTGCAGGGTGGAACTTCCAAAATAAACCCTGCAGACTCTTTGTCCTTAACTACAGCTCCTCACTCTGTAACTGGTTGTCTCCAAAGCTAAGACGCTCGAGGAAGTGACTGAAAATAGGAGGCCTACTCTATGTGTGTTTTGTGTGGATACCCTGAGTGAATAAGCCAAGAAGGAAGGAGAGTGAATGAGACAAAGATTAAACGGAAGAAAAGGTAAAGAAAAACAGTATTTGTTCAAACCATTTAGAAGTGAAATTTGGATTAAATAAGTATGTGAGCATTTTACAAGACTAAAAGACATTGCACAAATCTCCCTGGGGTAAAATCTGAGGGCAAGAATACCCCCTAGTTACAATATAAAGACCTGTATTATTGATGTCTTCCAAGTATTATGAATTCTGCAGGACTAAAAAAGTTATCAGTTTAACAAGGGAATGAAGAAATAGTCTTTGGAGGATTAAGCAAATACATTGAAAAAAATCTCAATACACACATTACAAATATGGCAAAACCATACATACTACCCAAGCGTTCAGTATTGTATGTCTATTGTGAGCTAAAAAATAAAACTCAAAGGAACTGAATATAACTAGAAAAAACCAGTTCCATGAAAAAGCTTTATTCTAATAAAGGGAGGATAAGGGAAAAGGACTGAGAACAATCCAAGGTGTAGATCCAAGGTGTAAATTATTAAATTTATGAAATTAGAAATTAAGTGTTATAAATTACTATACTTCCTATATTTCAGTTTTTGGATATTTCTAATATTTATTTACTATTCAACAATAATGTGAAAACCAGAAAGATTACTCTATTCCAAATAAAATTCTACAAATAAATGATTTATATACTATCACTGGAAAACACTCAATAAGCAGGCGACAAAAAAAGAGAGACACAAGCAGGGATGGATGGAAAAATAACTATATGGAGAAAGCTGTTAGGAGACCTCAACAAAAAAAGTTACAGACCGTAAGTAGCTTGCCAAGAGGGGAATGTAAAGAGAAGTTCTAAGTTGAATTATGACAGTACAGAAGAGGCTATTTATACAAGACATATTAAATCTGAGATGAATAGTAAAACAGAAGACAGGAAATATTGCCAGGGCCCCAAGACTATTGATTATAACCTAAGTGGACATTCTAAGTTGCTTAGAAAAAAAAAAAATAAAGTATAACAAGTTGTAATATTGCATACTGGTCACTCTACAAGCTTGGGCTGCAATCAGGGAAAAAAAGCACTACCAGTGCAAAAGAGAAGTGTAAATAATAAAATTGTGGAAATGGGGGTTTTTCAACAGTTACTGTCCGTGAAACACATGGTAAGACATCAGATTCTACTTACAAACTGATGCAAGAGTGCTTTATGCTGGATTTTTTCCATTTAATGAGACTGTTAATCAAAAATGCAAGAAGAGATTAACAAATACATCTGTTATGGCTTAAACTGAAAAAAATCTAGGGCATGAAAGGTCAGCGATAAAATCCATTATTCATAATGGTGGTGCCATAATAAGAGTGGGTAAATTGAAAGCTGCAACCACTGTAAGATCACTGATCCTTCAGAAAGAGGCACCAGTGTCTTTCTCTAAGCTACTAAAGAGGGCAAGAACTTTCTGAAGTCTCTAATGGCTCTTCTGAATTAAGGTGACTAATTAAGTGGACTATTGCATTTGAAATATATGTTTCTCATGTAGGAATTTAGATAATAAAACCAAAGCAGACTTATAAAATACAATGCATAATTTTAAGAGCTTTTTAAAACACTTGCCAGTTAAATTTAAGCACAATAAAACTCATAAAAATATACGTTCATACATACATACACAAAACATCTGTATAAAGCAGCATGTACCTCATGAGGGTTATAATCTGGAGGTAACTTCTCTAGCATCTCATCAGCAAGACGCTGCACCACTGCTTCTCGGGTTTCACCTTCTCCTGCGCTGCTGTCTTTGGGCTGGATGCTCACTATCATACTTAATGTCTCATTAGCCAGGTTAGTCTGGTAAGTTATATCTGCATTAGGGTGAAGTCCAAATACCTCAAAGTAAGGGAGAAAAAACATAAAAACAATTGTGATTTTCCTTCTAAAATTATATCAATGAAAGAATGCATGAAAATGGATAGACAAGGAAGAAAATTCTCAGCTCTGTAAAACAACAGATATGAATAGGTCAGTGGAAGTACACCCATTCAACTGGCCAATGACCAAGCCCAAATTACACAAAAACATTAACATAGGCTGCATATACAATAGCATTTTCATTCATATGAGTGGGGGTTTTTTAACTGATCTTCTGATTATCTTCACATAGCAGGCTTTGGATCATGCTGTGGAGTGCTATCAGGGGGTACAAACTGATTCCTTTCCACTGATTCAGACTACAGCTTGTTGGAAACGTGCAATATGTGGACACTGACCACTCACCACTAACTCTGTTGCTGTTGTACCAGTTCAAGTAGATGCCCCTGACACATTTTGTTTTACTCGGTTTCTTACGCTTATAAGGCACGCAGCACAGTGAATAAAAGACTGCCCATATTCAAAGTACCTAAACATTTTATAACTGGTGATATATTTAGGATATTTATGGTTTAGCTATTTTTTATTTGTCTCCCACTTCTTTCTTCTCCTTCTTCTGAAACTGAATTATTTTATTTAAGATACAGCTAGCACAGAATTACTACAAAGCTGCCCTTTGTCTGAATAGCTTTCTCAGAAACTTCCACTGGAATATCAGTAAGTCTATAACTGTCAGGCTGACTTTTGGAACTCTTCTCCAGGAGGAATTGTACTGTGACTTATTTCACAATCCCTTATTTAATTACAACTGTTAACTACCTTTTACAAGCTTTGAACCACTGATTCAATAATGAGGAAGGCTTGCCCTCAAACAGAGCACCAGAGCCAAGCAATCTCCCATTTCTCGTTTTTCATATTTAAGATTATAATTGGTATATTACAAGAAGATACTTCTAGTAACCAATATTTACATACTCTGGGGACAGAATAAAAAGGGCCATAAGTAATATTGTTATACTTGCAAATCTAGAAACTCAGAGAAAGGGATATAAGTGGCTGCATCTGTGTCAAAGCCAGCAAAGCTGCACTGATTTACACCAGAGGTGGATCTGATCCTTACAACAGCACAAAGAACACAGACCTAATACCGTGTGTGAGAGAAGGTGTGACTATAACTAGCATGGAATTAGGTTCCAAGTAGGATTTAACATGTTTTACACACAGTGGTTTACTCAACCTGAATATTTAGAGCTGTAAAAAGTGAAAATCTCAATGCACTTTATTACACTTATATTCTATATCTAATGAAATACACATTTGAAGATACACTCTTTTCTGCTTTTGCTCTCGGACAATAAGGGTTTGTTTGTTTGTTTGTTTTTCTCTAGCATATTTTTTGGCAATGATATAGCCCAAGCTAGAAACATGAAAAATATCTGCTACTGTGTACGTAAATTGTAGTGCTAGTCCAAGGGCTAAAACTGGTGTAATATTGCCAAAGACAGGGCAGTTACATGGGAGACAACTCTGGTCCTATGTCTTTATGAAAGTGATATATGAAAGAATAAGAACAAAGCAACAAGAGTAGTAAAGCAGTGGGTGGACCAGTGTCCTGGATGTCCTGTATATTAATCAAGGAGCCCAATCTCTCATTCTTTTTGATCCAAAATCCCTGGGAATTTTGATAAAAAAGAGGATGTTGGATTATGTCTTTCAGGGGTTTTTTTAGCCTGAAGAATCCTCAAAACCAATTGCTAAAGCTCTATACCCCTATGAAATCAAAGTCATTTTCAAAGGGATTGCTGACTTCAATAGCCCTCTTCAGAAGTTAGTGTTTATTCTGATCAGAGGTTGAAATTCCATCAAAAGAGCAAGGATAAAGCCACCAGATTTATTTGGTCTTTCTCTCTTGACCAAAAATGGAAAGGGGAGGAAACAAATATACACTGTTTAGAGTAGCACAATATGCTTTTGGAAACAAAGAAGTCTGGGAGATTAAAAGGTTAAAGGTTTCCATGAGCAATTTTGACAGATTTTGGAATGACGGAAGAAAGTTGCAGCTTTCTTCCTAATGTGTAAAAATGCGAAAGAGAAAAAAGATGTTTGCATTCCTGGATTTGATCCTATTTACATAAAAGTCAAAGGTAAAATTCTCCTACATCAAACCATACATGCAGATTTTTTACAGGCATCAAAATACTTTAAAAATACATTGCAGTATTGTGAGATAGGTTCCCAAGCACTTAGAAAAGTAGATCCATGAAAGCAGGACCTGAAATCTGATAGAGTCAAGGTTCATAGACTGATAGGAACCATTTCATGAGCTGGGCTCAGATGGATCCCACTGGTGCATTATCATGGCTGCATTTACCCTCACCTGAAAAGGTGCATCGTTACTAGCAGAAATACCCCAGCATTCTGCTTTCACTACCTTCAGAGATTCAACTTTTCAAGTTTATTTTATGACCTTGGAATCTTCTCACCCTCTCAGATAGCATGTTATCAGTAACAGAAAATAGAACTCATTTGCAAAGGCATTTATCAACTTAATATCAACAAGACAGAAATCCAGAGCATTCACTTCTGTTTCAGTTTTAACTAACTTCATCACATGTGCCTGTACTAGAGGGAGCAGAAAGTTGCAGTCCTCCAATTAATGTGACCACTGCAGTATACACACACTGGGTCACGTAAAAGTGGTTGCAACTCGGAGCTTCCTGCACCCTACAAAGATCAAGACTCCACAACCTCTCTGGGCAATTTCTTCCAGTGCTTGACCACCTTCACAGTAAAAAAGTGTTTTCGTGTTATCAGATGGAATTTCCTGTTTAATTTATACCCATTGCCTCTTGTCCTTTCACTGGGTACCATCAAAAAGACTCTGGCTCCATCTTTACACCCTCCCAACAGGTATCTATACACATTGATAAGATCCTGCCTGAGCCTCCTCTTCTCCAGGTAAGGAGTCCCAGCTCTCTCAGCCTTTCATCATATGACAGATTCTCCAGTCCCTTAATCATCTTCATGGCCCTTTTCTGGACTCACTCCAGTAAGTCCATATGCTTCTTATAGTGGGGAGCCCAGAACTGGACACAATACTTCAGATATAGCCTCACCAGTGCTCAGTAGAGAGAAAGGATCACCTGCCTCAACCTGCTGGATCACGTCCCTCTTCCTAAGGCATCCTAAGATACTGTTGGCCTCTTTGCTGTGAGGGTGCATTGCTGGTTCATGGTCAGCATGTCCACCAGCACAACCAGTGTATGAATTTGCATTTTCCCTTGTTGAACTTCATATGACATTTCCCTCTGCCCAGCTCTCCAGCTTGTCTGGATCCCTCTCAATAACAGCACAACCATCTGATCTATCAGCTCCTCCTTCCAGTTTTGTATCTCCTGTGGACTTGTTGAAGGTGCACTCTGCCCCATCATCCAGGGGGGCATTACAAAGATATTAAACAGTATTGGCCCCAGTATTGACCCCTGGCATAGAGCACCAGTGACCTGTCTCCAACTGGACTTTGTGCCACTGATCACAACTCACTGGGGTTGGTGATTTAGTCAGTTTTCAAACCACCTCACAGCATGCTTATCTAACCCATGCTTAGTCAGCTTGTCTATGAAGATGTTATGGCAGGCAGTGTCAAAGACCTTACCAAAGTTGAGGTAAAAACCATCCAAGGCTCTCCCCTCATCCACCAAGATTGTCACTGCATTATAGAAGGCTGACAGGTTGATTAAGCATTATTTGTCCTTCAGAAATCCATGCTGGCTGCTCTCAATCATCTGCTTGTCCTTCATGTGTTTGGAAATGCCTTGCAAGAGGATTTTCTCCAGCACCTTCCCAAGGACTGAGGTGAGGGTGACCAGCCTGTAGTTCCCCAGATCTTTCTTCTTCCCTTTTTGAAGACTAGAGTGATATATGCTATCTTCCATTCTTCAGGAACCTCTTTCAATCACCATGATCATTTAAAAGTAATCGTGAGTGACCTGACAATGACATCAGCCAGCTCCCTCAGCACTCATGGGTGCAACCCATCAGGTACTTACATACCTTCAGTTTGTTTAAGTACTTCCTAACTTGATCCTCTTCCACCAAGGGTAAATTCCTTGTTCTAGACTTCTTGTCTCAGGGGCCTGGGGTTCCTGGAGGGCAGTCTTACTGGTAAAGACTAAGGCAAAGAAGGCATTGAGCCTTTTCAATATCATTTCTCACTAGTTCTCCTGCCCCATTCAGCAATGGACCCACATTTTCTCTAGTCATCTTTTTACCGTTTACATACTTGTAAAATGCTTTCTTGTTGCTTTTCACATTCCTTGACAGATTCAACTTCATTTTGGCCTTGGCTTTCCTAACCCCTATCCCTACAAGACTGGACAGTAGCTCTGTACTTTTGCTAAGTCACCTGCCCCTGCTTCCACCTCTTGAAAACTTCCTTTTTATGTCTGAATTCAGTTAGGAGTTTCTTGTTCATCCATTCAGGCCTTCTTCTGCTTTTGATTTCCTACTTGTTAAGATTAATCTTTTTTGAGCTTGGAAGAGATGATCCTTAAATATAACCCAGTTCTCCTGGACTCTTCTCTCAAGGGCCTCTGGATTTCACATTGCTGACCAGTTCTTCCTTGCTCATAAGTTTCAGGTCCAGCCAACACCTTTCTTTGTTGGCTCCTCAATTACCCATGCCAGGAATTTGTCATTAATGCACTCAAGAAATCTCCCAGACTGCTTGAATCTTGCTGTATCACCCTTCCAGCAGATAGTTAAGGTCATTAAAGTCCTCCATGAGGACCAAGGCCTGTGTACATGAGACTTCTTTCAATTGTTTGAAGAAGGCCTCATCTACCTTTTCCTGGTCAGCAGGTCTAAACTAAATACCCACTATAAAGGTCTGCCTGCTAATCTTGCTTTATACATTCATGGCTCTGGAAAATATACCTGAATAAATTATTTATCTGACAGAAACTCCCTTTAATATATTGAAATATTTTACCTCAGGTGTATCAATCACTGGCAATTGCTCAATGTACTGGAGATAGTCTTCAACTGTTTTCCCTTTTGGAATAACATAATCTTTGTAGAAACAAAAATTTTCACTAAACATATGCTCTCCAAACCAGACTCTTGCATAGGTATTCAGCAGTGCTTTGTCAAGGTCATCAGTTACACGGCCACCATACTGTACTTCTCCAAGCATATAGCGAACACAGCTCCAGTTCACTCCACGTTTAATGTCCATGTCATCCAAATGATTCTGAACAAATTGCACACTGGCTGCGAAGTCTGCATGATTAAATTCATAAGGAATATTCCAGCCCAATGGACCAAACTTTCGTCTTTCCTGTAAAATAGAGTTAAAGGTAAAAGCCTGATTGATAGTAATTATGAAGAAAACATTAAGTGCAGAAAACTACATGAACTATGCTAAGAATTCAGTAGTCCAGCTGGGGCTGTATTTCATGAACTTTAAAAAAATTATTCTTCTCTTAACACACAAGGCCAAATGCTTGATTAATTATCTAGTAGTTAAATTTCTCTTAATTTATCATAGCCAGCAGAGAGATAGGAACAAAGAATAGGAATATTAACATTTTCACAAAGGAAAAAATCCTCATTTTAAATGCAGCAAATCTATAAGTCTAGCACTATAGTTTTTTAATTTTAAAAATGAAACTACTGTTTTAGGAAAAGATGTTCAAACTCATCAGCCATGATCATTGTCTGTGATCTTCCGTAGATTAGATATATTTGTACCACTGACATCTCTGCACGGTGCAGATGCAAGTAGCAAAAGCTGCTTCTTACTCAATCATTTGCAGATGCAGCTGGCTGTATGTAGCTGTTAGGGCAATATCTGGTATTTAAACATTATTAATTTCCACCAAGAAAGAAGTGATGGGACAAAGACAAGCATACTACAGGCTTCCATTGGACCACGATGTATCAGTACATGGATGCCACAGAGTTAAATTAACCAGGCACCATAAGCTAAGGATACTGCAAAATCTATCAATAGAATGATGTAAAGTTGTGGTTAACCCATAAAGCACTTTCTTTAATGGAACTCCTGAAAGGCAAGACCCAAAATCATCTCCCACCTTCATTTCCTCCTACAGGTCTCAGTGTAGGAAGGATTTATATTCACCCTCTTAGCCCTTCTCATTGTGAAAGCAGCAGTTTTAAGACAAGTTTTCCAACCCAAGCTGTAAATTCCTTTAATGTGCTTTTATGATTTAAAATGTTAGTAAAAAAACAGTTATTGAAAGACAGATTACACAGCCATGCCCAAAGATTTTAACAGAACAGTACACTAACTGATCATTGGTTGACTGTCCTTTTTTCCTCTGAAATACCATTCCTGTTGGAGGTACAGGATCAACATGATCTGAGTTCTATGTTCTAAGACAGTTGCAGTAATAGAGATGTGCTCTTTCTTATTTTTTTCTATTAATTTACCCACATGGGATTTCCATTTAAACATGCTTTTCATTTAATAACATGATGCATTAATAAATGAAACATGGCTTTATGACAGAAGAAAAGAAACTTATTTTTAAACCTGAACAGTTGTATGAAGAAATGCTACAGCATATAGCAATGGTTTCCACTGTGGCATGTTGCTCGCTTCTAGGTGATCCTGAGTAACAGCTGAGTATGTTCGTTTCAAGCCTGCTTTCACACCTAGAAAATAAGTATAAAAATGTAATATATGAGAAAAAAAATGTATGGAACCCAGAAGTCCAACTTCCATTTAGCAGAATTCTCTATTACAATTTACAGTGTCATCTTATTTATAGCTTCAAATAATCTCTTTGAATTAATTATCTGTTCAGCTGGTCATAGCAGGCAAACTTCAGTTAAATTTTGTTTCAGGTAGATGACACACCAAATTAATTTCAAAAGTCTGTAAGGAATTACAAATATGTAATCATATTCTAAATGTTACCAATAACAACTGAAATATAAACATAACTATTCAGCATCTATATGGCAATCAAAAAGACATCTAATGTCATATGAAATACAGCACTGAATAGTCAAGGGTTTGTGTTTTGATATTTACATACAAAATGAGATTTTAGTTCTACAGAAGACAATTTTTTTTTTAGATTTTGTTCCTATAACAGTCTCAAAATTCTATATGCAGCTTCCCAAACTGGCATACAGGCACCAAGCTGATGAGACGAGAACCTAAATTCATAGTGGAAATACTAATACTTGGGAAGGTTTTTTTGAGCACTGACATTTCATATCCCAGGAGCTCATATCATCAGGAAGATGATACTGATATAATCTCAGCTTCCACAGAATTTGTAAGCCCCACTACTCCCAGATGATTCCAGGCAGCACTACTGAAGTATCATCTGCCTTTGGCAGAAAACACCAAGCGTGACTTACTGACACCAGGACCCTCTTACAATATTTTCCACCTAATCAGCTTAACAAAAGTCTAAAAAGACAGATTTCAAGTGCGGTGAATAGACTGTTCAAGTCGTCATACTTCCTATGACATAATAAAAACCCTTTTGCTTCTTCCTTACTTGACAAAAGTCCCATAGAACAATATTCAAACAAATAGATTTTCAAAATATTATAAAGGGCATCATAAGAGAGTTCCAAAATCAAGACAAAGTAATCAAACAGAAGTGCCTTATCACATCATGCTACCAATGTGGCAGGACAGTATCAGAAAACTAAAACTGTTTATATTTCATCCTGACTTAAACTGTTACACTGAACATATTTCTATTATTAAATGCAAGTTGTAAATTGGCTATAACCTAACCTATAAAACAGCCTCTTGGAGCTACGGGGTGTTATCTTTTTAATAATAAGGAAGGGTCACAGCACAATAAAAAATCCTGAGCACTGAATTAAAAAGAGGGGAGGGGAAGAGAAAGAAGTAAGATTTTTTAGCAGCAGACTGACTAACTGCTCTTGAGAGTGGAGTATATACACTGAAAAAAGATGTCTTTCACAAGATCAGACATCTTGTAGACATCTTACTAATGTTCAAAGGAATATGAATAATGAAATAAGAGGTTTAAATGCCTAAGGCATTAAATATGACCTTGGATAAAAACTCTCAGCTCCTACTGACATCATTAACTGAAATCAGTGGCAACACATATATATATAAATGAAGGGGAAGTTAATGCAATACAGAGTTACTTAAAAATGACAGAGTTAAAAGACAAAATAAGTGTCAGACTTGAGGATTTCTTTCTGCCATAGTCCAAAATACAAAGTAATCTTCCTCATCATACATAATGAGTAGATATAAGGCAGGGGAGTAAGTTGCTTCTATAAACATATAAAGGACATCTGCAGGTAGCAGTATAGTTCGGGTAAGAGAGACATTCAACAGCAGGAGGGCAACAGGTTCTGTAGAAAAGTTGGATGGTTTCATATCACACAGAATAACACCAAATAGTTGAGGTTGGAAGGGACCTCTGGAAGTCACCTTGTACAACACCCCTTCTCAAAGCAGGGTCAACTAGAGGTGGTTACTCAGTGCCTTGTCCATGTGGGTTTTGAGGATGGAGTCTTCAAACTTACTGAGCAAGTTGTTCCAGTATTTGAGCACTGTCACAGTGGGTTAAGTTTTTTCTGATGCTAAAGTGGAATTTCCTGGATTTCCATTTGTGTCCATCACTTCTCTTTCTGTCACTTAGCACCCCTGAGAAAAGTATTGCTGTTTTCTTTGCTCTCTCCCATCACATATAAATACTCATTGATAAGATACCACTTCTATCCTCAAGGTTAAACAACCATTGCTCTCTCAGCTTCTCCTCATATAGGATCACAGAACCATAGAATAGTTTGGTTGGAAAAGACCATTATGATCATCTAGTCCAACCATAAACCTGGCATTGCCAAGTTTACCACTAAAGCATGTCCCCAGGTACCACATCTACACATCCTTTAAATCCCTCCAGGGATGGTGACTGCCCCCCTCCCCTGGGCAGCCTGTTCCAATATTTGACAACCCTTTCAGTGAAGATTTTTTTCCTAATATCCAACCTAAACCTCCCCTGGCGCAACTTATGGCCGTTCCCTCTCATCCTAATACTTGTTATTTGGGAGAAAAGACCGACACCCACATCATTACAACCTCCTTTCAGGTAGTTGTAGGGAGCAATTAGGTCTCCCCTCAGTCTCCTATTCTCCAGACTAAACAACCCCAGTTCCCTCAGCTGTTACTCTTAAGACTTGTTCTCCAGGCCCTTCACCAGCTTCATTGCCCTTCTCTGCAGAAGCTCCAGCAACTCAATGAATTTCTTTTGGTGAGGGGCCCAAAACTGAACACAGTATTCAAGGTGTGGCCTCACCAGTGCTGAGTACAGGGGCACAATCACCTCCCTGGTCCTGTTGGCCACACTATTTCTGATACAGGTCAGGGTGTTGTTGGCCTTCTTGGCCACCTAGGCACACTGCTGGCTCATGTTCAGCCAACTGTCAACCAACACTACCAGGTCCTTTTCTGCC